ATACCCTACGGGGGTTTCTTCGTTCTGTTGAATTCATCACGGGAGGACCGTTTCTTGGACATATCTATTTCTTTTGAACTTCTCTTATACATAAGTTTTTTTGAACTTCACTATAAATTCGCTTTGGAAGAAAATTAGCTGCTTCTATATTTTTACAGTTTATGTTTGGAATTTAATTTTTTCCTGTTTTTTCTCTTTTTTTTCACATTTTGTGGACTCAAAAGTTCTTTTGAAAAAAGTTTTTTGGAATAGGCATTGTTTTACAAATATTTGGATGGTACTGAGGCCATTATAGATGACCTTCACTAAAATTGGTTCACTTTATATGATAGAGTAATATAGATCTCATTTAACTATATTAGTCACGTTTGCACATATACATATTCTATCACAGGTTCGAATTTGTTGCGATTGGTTCACTTACACAGAATAATATTATTTTTGACATTTTACATTTGTCACAGGTTTAAATTTGATCATATTTTTTCACCCACACAGGGAAAATAGTTTTTGTTACTTTATTATACACATTAAGTCTTTATTACACACATCAAGTCTGGGATTTTGTTGCATTTTTTACTTGGTGTATCACTTGTTTGAATTGAACACTGGGAGACTTTTAGCACTGTACTCTACATTAATCAACTCCTAAGGCTCACCGCCTAAGTTCAGCAGCTTCTAGTTAGTTCGGTTTTTCTCCTTTCTCCTTCCATAAGCGCAGGTTCTATTTTTTCCATAAATATAAAATGTTGCATAGGGATAATAGATATTTAGCACTTGCAATTAGCAGGTGAACCTTCAAGCAAGTATAGAAAGCAGGTTTTGTGGGATCTGGATGACTCAGGGGATACACCTCCTCCAGAACTGCTAGCAGAAAAAGCAGCATCTTAAATCGAGACTGGCAAGTACAGGGCCTGCCATCACTGGACACTTTTCATTCAATGGAAAAACTCAACAAAAGTTATATTTATAGCTTTGGCAAATAGATCCAATTTTATACTCCTCTTTATTTCTCCCATGGTTTCCAATTAATATTGCACAATCAGGGAAGCCCATACAAGATTGCTGAACATCATAACAATAGGTTGTGTGCCTCTTTCATAGCAAATTCGTAGCACAATAGCTTTTTCACACATTGCTTTCAGGCTAAGAATAGACAGAAGGTGGAAAACAAAGGTGATTGAAAAATGTTTTACTTGCCTCTTATTTGTATCTTTGGTTCTGCTGATATGCTGTTTCGACCACTCGATGTAAATGGTAGGTGTTTAGCTAGGATGCAAAGTTAACACAGAACTAAGAAATCCTTTGTTGGAGTTTCCGGAGATAATAATCGTGGATTTTGAAAATGGAGTCCCATTATTCATGGTATAGCTACTATATACAGTAGTTTGGAGGCACTAGAAAAAACGGAAAAAAATAAGTACTAGCTTTGCTTGAAATTCGATCTTTATTTTTGAACAGAGTCCCTCTTTAAGCAGGAATCAGATCAATCATTTACAATATTGAATATTTGTAAGGTTGCTTATTTTTTAACTACCTTACGTCCATGGCCGTTTGTGAACGGCCAGATGGACGTCTGCTCAGAGCGGGAGGGCGTCTTAAGACGTCCATCTGGTAAATTCAGTTATATGTGAGAATACTAAAACCTTTGTTGAATCGCTTTAGAAAAACATGATATGGGTAATTAAATTCCATAAATGTGCGTGGGAAGAGATCATCTGGCTCACCTGTATTGCCATATCGCCAAGTACAATAAAAGCTTCTATTTTAAGAATATGGATCAATTAGCAAATGTACACAAAAGGATGAGATTGCAGTAAGCTGATATTTTAGTTAAGTGATTCATATGAACTTAGGTACCTCGTTAATCATTTCCTGACAATGAAAGGTATAATCACATCTGATTGGCAAACATACAGTCCTTTGTAAAGCTTCTTGGAACTCATCCTCCACTGGGTTGTCCAAAGTGCACAGAGCATCTGTAGCAGGGCAGCCACCCCCATCCATTTGCTTTGCTTTATGGCGAGTGGTAGGATCACTTGTTCCTACTCTGTTGTCCATATATTTCTAGAAAGGATCCAGTAGAGGCAGATGAAAATGGTTGTGTCTAATGCTTTTCTTTGTTTCTCTTTCTGCCTCTCATAACACAGACAGAGGAGGCAGCAGAAGATATAGCTGTTGTCCCTAAATATGAAAAATAAAATATATAGCAACGATCTTAGGCAGCATGGAGACTGGGTTGATAGAAATCTTGGTGTGATCCCTAATAAAGGGACACCATCTACACAGAGTTTCCCCTATATGTTCATCTTCTAATTTTTTTGTATTTTTATTGGGGGGGGGGGGGGGG